TAAAGTGAGATTTTATTACAGGGGCAACAATCTCTGCATTGATGTCAAGAAAGCAATAAAGGTTAATAAAAGGAGGCCACTGGAAGTGAAAGGGGTAATTCATGATGGATGACAAACACAAAAGGACACAATCCTGTAAAGTTTATTTTCACACATGCTCAAAACAGCAATTGTTCTTTTATTTTTATTTTTTTATTTTATTTTTTTTCTCACTTGCCTTTTAACAAAGCAAAGTAAACACACCTGTGCTTTAACCTACCCAGGCCAGTGACACCACCTCTCACCTACAAATAAGACTATCCACAGACGTTTCCATCACTTCACCATGGATCACATCAGAGTTGGCATCCTTGCTATGTGAGTAACAGAGATATGTATAAATGTTATATCTACATCGTCTTTCAAATATAAGCTGCATTCGATGCTCTTTTCTACAGTTTTTTGCAGTGTTTTATCACAAAGAGCGCATTTTTCATTCAGAAACAAGAATGGATCCAAACTTCTGCAGCAAGATCAACAGGTGAACATTTATTCACTTATGAGCTAAAGCTGTTATGTTCCTAGTGTTTGTGAGAAATCTACCTGCTGCAATTTCAGAAGAAGATGTGGTTTGCTTTCCTGAATACATGGAGATGTGGATGCACAGTGCAAGAATCGAGGAGTTCAGGGTCTGGCTGTCGAGGGCGCTAAGTATCCAAGGTAATTCTTTATGACAAGATAAATGACTTTAAAAAGCATTCATTTAATTTTGAACATGTCATTTCTGAACCACTGCTTGCTTTTCACAAGCCAACCTTGCATCTCTGGATCACCTGAATCTCCAGCTGTCTGTCTGTGGATTCTCACTGCAAAACGACCCCGACGATAACTACGTTTTTAGAGTCAGCTACACCGGGTGTTTTGTTCGGCAGCAGGTTTGGCATTCTTTTCTGAAATATGCAATCCATGTCTACAACCTCAGATCTTTTAGCCTTGCACTTGGGCTTGGTGGTGATAATGATCTGTGTTTATATTGACTTTTCAGAATGGCTTTAATGTCTTAACATTAAATTTGGTGCGGAGGATGAATCGATTTGGAAGCCAGCATCACAGTTTCACGATGAAGTGCCCTGTGATGTCTGTGGTGCAAAGCAGAGAGCAAATCCACTGTGATCCTGAATATGTTCAGGTAACAATGAACATTTTGCCACATTTCAACCTAACTGTATTTATATATTTGGATTAGTTTGCTTTGTTACAAGAAATAATTTGTGTGTGCCCTCAGGTGATCAGAGAAATTCCCTATGGAAACTGGGATAATGAGGTAGTAATTACATTCAGTGCCTGGAATTGTTATTACCTTCTAAATGATCACAATTTTGTCTGTAGATGTTTAATGTTTGGAAAGCAAGTCTAACTTTTTGTTTGTATTTATTGTCTGATTTTTGCTGCAGCTGCAGTGGTCGCTGTGTCTGGACGATCACCTCCTTGTAGCTCTGGAGGATGCCAGCTTGATTCAGATGAACATTGATGTGAATGTAACAGACATAAGAGTTCAGGGCAGGAGGAGGGAGATCTTAAGGCCTGTCAACGTGAGACTTCACACAGCATTATGCCACCTAGTGTCTATTGTTAGTATTACAACTGAAATGTACTCAATTACTGTTTGGTTAATACAGATAATGGAAAATGAAGGGGAATTTTTGGATTTGAAGCTGGTCAGAGACAGATATGCCTACAGTATGGAAGCAACTTGTCCAAAAGGTGGGTAACAAGGACAGAATTGGAGCTGGAAGTTAGTGAGTGTTTGAGTTTAATTAGAGC